CCATGAATTACTAAAGATTTAACGTTTATATCTATGTTTATAAATGGCATACGCACGTGGATTAATGGTTCATAAATGACGAATAAACTACTAACGAATCCATTACTTGTGCTTAATAGTGTGTCGTTATTATAAATTGTTACAGTTTTATCTTGCTATGTCATAACACAAAAAAATAAGCATTTGTTAACAAAACATAAACTAAAACTGATGGGAATCTCGTCAATGTGGTAAACAGAGGCACATTTACATTTTGACTAATGGTGCTGCAGGGCTTAATTTGACCATGACTAAACCAAATTTATATTAAGCAGGAGGTGACATATTTCACAGCAAAAGTGAAACTTTTCACTAGTTAATGTTAAATAGAAAGTAGAAAGGGAAATCATCAGACAAATCAGCCTGGTCAAAACTGCTGGCGCAGCCAAAAGATAGTCACTACAATCCCTGAAATCTTAGTGAGCCTGCTGGATTGAAACTTCACTGTTATGGTTGTTTGATAGATACTCCCAAAGGCTCTGGCCCTGCCTTTTTGGCTGGTATCACGCAGACTTGGCCTTCCACCGATCCTGACATATGCAGATTCAGTTTTAGCCAACTGGAAGTTAAAGGATCCCACAGGGTAATCCTTTTTCTTATTTAATGCCAAAATATTAGGCAGTCTCGTTAAATGCAATAATAACCTCACAGTGAAATTCTAATAATTGCTACTTCTTTCTTTTACTTTCATTTCAGGGATATGAGCATTGGGTGAGTATCACTCTGGACTTTTATGTAATCTCATGTGTCATGTGGTTTTTACTCATTGTTTTGCTAAATATTATTTTTAAAAATAGGAACATGGACCTGATATTTTCATTCCCTGGTGGTGACACTTGCAGGGGATTTTTTATTGTGTCACTGCTGGTTGAGATGGCGGCTTCACCCGGCATAATGGTTAGTATTACTTCTTTTGAAGTCTTTCTGAACATTAGCTTGGCGTTTTCAATTTCTCTATTCCCTGGTCCACAAACTGTGTGTGCTTTTGCCACTTGTAACTTGGTAATGCTGTTTAAACCTTTGACTTTAACCAGGGGGCGCTGGAAGTGATGCACGCCATTAAAGTCTCTAACCTCACTGGGATAAAAAATGGCCTCATCAAAGTAACTCAGTCTTTAAAGAAGATGAAGGAAAAATTCAAATTTATGCACAGTAAGTTTGAATTGAGGCTTGCTCACATGAATTTAATCACTTTACATGCTGTGCTCTTTTATGAAGACAGAGAAATCCAAGGTAATTAGACAACTGACTCTGTGCTATTTCCAGATCACGTGGAGCCAGCTGCATTTCATGGAAAATTGAGAATTTTTGTCTCAGGGTGAGTTTAGCACCGCTACAGTGTTCTCCAAACTAAGGTTTTCAAGGTTTCAGTATTTCTCTCATGCAGATTTATCTCAGTAAAAGTTATCTTTTTATCTGTTTCTATTGGTGCACTTTATATTTTATAGGATAACATCTGAAGTCATATCATACATATTTAAATTCATGTACATCTATTAGAAAGAGGCTTGCAGTATAGGTTTTTTGTTTGAATTGTTTTAGGTGGCGAGACAATCCAATGCTTCCAAGGGGGGTGCTGTATGAAGGTGTGAGCGATGAGCCTATTTTGTTATCAGGTGGGAGTGCTGCCCAGAGTTCAGCTATTCAATGCTTTGATGCTTTGCTGTGCATCAAGCATGAGGAAGAGACAGGTAAGCATGCATTGCCTTCAACCTTTGACCCCTTCAGATGGCTCTCGTGAATAAATCACATTTGTGCAGCCAACTGATTGCTTTGAATGAGAATGTTTCCAGGATAGACAATTATTTTCATTCTTATAAGGTCTCTTTTCTGTCCCTTTCACTGATTCACTCAATCTAGGAGCGTTCCTGACACGCATGAGAGATTACATGCCTCCTGCCCACCGTCAGCTGATAGAAACGCTCTCCGCCTGTCCACCGCTGCGAGACTTCATCTTGTCCTGCTCCAACTCTGACCTCTGCCAGGCCTACAACTCTTGTGTCTCCGCACTGGTGGATTTACGAAACTATCACCTCAATACTGTGACCAAGTACGTCATTATTCCTGGTAACTACGCGCAATCTGTGGGCTGTCCATTCAGAGGTGTGGGTACTGCACTCAACACCACTGGGACTGGTGGATCCAACCTCATGGTCTTCCTTAAGAGTGTTCGTAACACCACTCAAAAGGCACTGATTTTAGAGAGACTATCATAGTCTAGAAACATCAGTGTAATTCCTGGCACATATATACTGCTCCAAAAAAATTGAAGAAACATTTTTAAGTCAGAGTATAGCATCAGGTCAATTAAATTTCTGGGATATATCTGGTCAGTTAAGTACCAGAGGGGGTTGTTAATGAGTTTCAGCTGCTTTTGTGTTAATGAAATTAACAGGTGCTTTAGAGGGGCAATAATTTGACAACCCCCAAAACAGTAATGGCTTTACAGGTGCAGGACACTAACATTTTCCCCTCCTCATCTTCTCTGAATGTTTTTTTCTGTAGTTTTGCATTTGGCTAGGGTAAGAGCCACCACGTTACTGTAAGTACAAAACTTCCAGGACAGCACATCAATGCGAGCCATTGCCAGATGATTTGCTGTCTCTCCCAGCACAGTCTCAAGTTCATGGAGGAGATTCCAGGAGACATACAGTTACTCTAGGAGACCTGGACAGAGTTGTAGAAGGTGATATATATGCCTGATATATGTCATTTGTGCAAGGAGGAACAGGATGAGCACTCCCAGAGCAAAATGACCCGCAGTAGGCCACTGGTGGGAATGGTGCTGCCCTGTGCTTTTCAGTAGGTTAGCCCTAATATCATGTGACAGAGGTGAAAGGTCCTAGAGATGCAATTCTGCCTGTAACATTGTTCAGCATGCCATTCAGTTGGCATTCACTCAGCTTTCACTCTGGGTTCTTGGCTAGCATAGTGTTAGCATGCTGTCTGGCTAGGCTAATGTTAGCATGCTATCTGTGCACGTGCTTGCAAACAGCCGATGTTGCAGCATAAAGTATCTGTCTCTGGGAATTGGTGCTTGTCTTGATTCCCATCCCTATTACCCAGTCCATATCAGTTTTCTCTGTATTATTGCCTTTACCGTACAAAAAAGGTAAAGATACTACAATAATACAGCGCCTTGAGGCAACTGTTGTTGTGATTTGGCACTATATAAATAAAACTGATTTGAAGATTGGTTTAAATATCCAGGATGCCCACCCCCCCATTGATTGTTGCATTTTGTGTTCCATAAATTTTTTGAGCAGTGTAAAAATATGTATTATAACCAAAACATTATAACCCTGACATTAGTAAATCTTTGAGTAAACTTTTATTTTTTTAGATAAATGATTATTGGGTTTTCACTCTTTGATGGTGTCATGGATGATTTCTAGCATGAATACGTCACTACATTAACAAAGTATTCAAAGTATTTGAAAACTGTACCTCTTTACTTTAATACTACTATCAACAATTTTTTATAAATTTTCTTTTGCAGAATTGCATGACAAACTTGAGCTATGTTTACACCTATCACATACACACAACAAGCTCCCTGAGTATTAACACACACTTTTGAAAGTAAACCTGTTTCTAAGAAATAGGTTTCTCCATAGGTCACAGAACAAAAACTAGCAAACTAGTGGAAATAATTATTCCCAATGACTGGTACCATTGTTACATCATGTTTGTGGCAACTAAAAGCTTTTAAACCTACTAATCAAACCACACTATATAATCCTTTACATAATCAAGTAAAACAGACCATGAAACAGAGAGGCACTAAGTGTGGCGATTGCTTTATTTTCAAGTGTAATTGTGCTTGTATGCATTTGAACCCTAATATTGTTTTGTTTGTTTCTTGTTGTTTTAGCTCAACTGCATAGTTGCTGAGGCCTTATGATGGTCAAACTCTCTTACACAGAATTGCAAGGTGGAGGGGGTAGTTGTTGAATAAGTGTGTTTCCTCCATTCTGTACTTCCTTTTTCATTAATGAAATCCTCAGTGTTGCTTTATATGGTCACAGGAGAAAAAAAGCTAGGTCTATAGAGTATAGACCTATGTAATGAGCTTTACATGTTAAGAGGAAATAAATTTAAGTTAGTGGTGTATACTGACAAATTTGTAAGCTCAGTAATTTTTTAATGACCTTTTGATTAACATTTGTTTATGTACATAAAATTGTACTTTTTGAGGAGCAATTCATGTCAGTCACATTTTTTGTTGTTGTAAAAAGTTAGATTTTTGCTTTGGGCCCCAGTCACACAGGTCTAGAGACTGGTCGATGACTTCTCCCACTTCAACCACTGGTCAGCTGGTTTGTTTGTAGTTGCGGGAGGGTGCTGGCAGTGGCTTGGTGAAATTGTTTGCAATGAGATATTCCATGCAGCACTGAAAATTAAAACCTGCAATTCCTTGGGTTACTAAAAATTACTGTGTTTGCCTGTTATTTGCATGGAAGACATTGACCTTTCAGCAAACACTTCGAAGCTACTTGCTAAGCAGTAGTGAAACAGTGAGGCCAAACCAGAAGAGACCTTTACCTTCAAAGTGAAGAAAAAAAATGCAACTTGTACTTAGAAGGTGAAGATCCTCTGTATCTGGTTTGCATCACACTTTTTCAGGTTTCACTGCCATTTGGTGGGTAGTCAGCAAGTGTTTGCAGACAAGTCGACCTCTTGGTGCAAACTGTGGGCAACCATGGCAATCTGCTAGGAACCAAAGCAATGGCAATGAGGGTTTTAGCTCAGAAACCTCTGGCAGCCTCTTGCCAACTGGTTAGGGGAGTACACATTTTTTCCTAGCGACTGGAGGTTGCCAGGGGGTTGCCAACTGGTCTCTAGGCCTGTGTGAGTGAAGCCTTAATATCTCTAGGTTTGCTCCACAGAACGGTTAGGGCTAGGGTAACCATCTAACATTTAAAAGACATACAGTAAGAGAACACTGAATCACCTTCATTTGAAAATGTTTTAATTGTGATGTAGAAACAGTAGAAAAATGCATAATATTGCACATAATCACTAAATTGCACTTTTCCAAGGTACAGATCTTTGCATGGAGATTGTTGACCTGAATAATGTAATCTACAGTGTAATCTAACAATGGGAGGCCAGTGTGAGTCTTCCTGACAATTCTTGTACAATTCCATTCAATTATTTACATGACAGCTGCTGTTATGAAGTGACTAAAGGAATTTAATAAATGCCTGCTTTATAAAAGCATGCAAGTTTAGTGTCATTGCTACATCATCTGTGTTTTATTTCTGTTTTTTTCCCCTAGTTGACCAAAGCTGGTGGACACAAGTCTTTTCTGCTGTAAGATTGCTACCATTACTTCTTTAGCACTGTATATAGCCCTTCTGCTCTTGCTGCAAGTTCAGTGCACAGTTGTTTGTGTGGGTTGGTGGACATGTGTTTGGCATTCAATTTTTTTTTTTTCTCATTTTACTAAATAGATGAGGATAAATAAATGTTACAAAACAACAGTTGGATTGTTAAAGTAGCTAACTGGACATGAGACAAGTGGCTTAAAATGAATTAGTTTCAAGATTTCACATCTTTGCTGTGACTGAGAGCCAAGACAAACTCTTGGACTCAAGAGAAATGTCAAAATAGCTTTTACTTTCTGTCTGAACTGTTAAACAAAACAAGCCGATAAAGAAATACTCAAAATAAAAAGCAAACAGTGTTATCATAGAAAATACTCTGCCATACAAGTAGTCAAAACATTATATATGTTGTTTAAAAAAAATCTAACCCAGAATACTGTATTTTTTATCTATTGTACCTGCTTCAAGAGGAGGGGCCCAAACATACATATTTTTAAAAATTCATTTCACAGTACTTTGCTATAAAGATGCAGATATTCCAAAGTATACACTCTGAATATTTCATGTCACTCCAAGAACAGAAAATGACAGAATGACTAAAGCAAAGATAGCTGGTCAGTTGCACAGTAAGCTTAATAAAAAGCTACAAAAGAGAGAAAGAGATAAAGGTGTTACAATAAGAGGGAGGACAAGGAGGAGTTATTAGCAAAGGCAAGGAGATGTTCTGTCAGACAAACAAATTACACAGTATGCTAACAGATAAGGAGGAACAGGAGAGGATAGTAGGGGTTATAAGAACAGCGCTGACATAAAGTCATATAGCGTTTCAGTCTTTTACACATGCTTCTCTCAAAAGTCAAATGTTTGTGCTTTCAGGAAGTGGGGGGTGAGGGCTGATGTCCGTTTAAAGATTAGAGCTTCACCCATTAAAAGACCCTCCACATGGCTCCTCCTCTTGTTGCCAAGCAATATACTCTAAGGGGAAAAGACCAAAGTGCATTGCATTCATTGGAAGGTGAGACAAAGAGATTTCAATATAAAGTGAGAGGTGCATTGAGCCAGTACGTGAATAACGGCCATTTTTACACAGATTTTAAAAATATATGCGCAAAAATGTATGTCAAAGCTCACCTAGTTTTTGCAGATGTGTGTCGATCCTGTCCAGCAAACATGCCAGAAAAGGTAAGACTGAATTTAAAATGTTTTTATTTTTTATTTTTTTGGTCTTAAGCCCCCAGGTGACATGGTGTGGAATCTCAACACAGAACCTTAAATCACGTGGTTTCCATTCCCATGTGTTGATTACCCCATCTGAATATTCCTTCAGCAATTTTGAGAATAACAGGGGTATTAACGTGCCCAAGAAAATGGTCGTTTCCAAAGGCTTCAGGTTTTATTTAGAGGAACCATAGTTTCCATCGAGCATGCTTTTTGGATTCTGTCTTGGACTTGCGTTTCGGAGTAGATGTGAAAACTTCATTGGAGTAAGGCAGAGCAGGGCACTGTTGGCTGTCCAAGGGACAAAGTCTCTTCATCAGAGGCCCGAGCTTGTCCTCCTGCAGCTTAAAGTCCAGCTCGACACTGAAACACAAGGATATCAGGTAGAATTACAAAATATTTAGATAGGTCAGTTTATTTATTGTAATTCTTCACTTAAAGTAATGCTAGAAAAATTCATCTGTTCCATTTAAAAGGTTAGTGGTCTGTATGTTGTGTGGCTATAATATTTATGACTCAGCTTTTCACTTATTTTTTTATGTTAGTAATCCATAAAAATCCACGGCCAGATGGAGGCAGGGAGGGAGGCCGAGGTTCAAATGCACTGACAGACACCCTGGCAGCACATATTAGTTGCGGCACATATCCATATTTCTGAGACGACTCTGAGTAATAGAGTTCCTCTACTTCATCTTTGCATTTTTTTAATGTATACAGTCAAAGGGCTTTTCCTGCATAGATTATATTGGAATAATAAAAAAAAAAGGGCCAGAATGTGGGTTGCTCCTGACATCAGACTTTCACATCCGCAAGTGTAATCCCAGGCCGGTCATCGTCTGATTTCGTTCCGACACCATAGTTCAACCCTCTCTCTGATTAAATCTCTCAGGCCTGAGAGGAATGTGGGGATTAATCCCATCCAAATGAAACCACTGAGAGGCCAAGCAGACCCTGATTAACTGCATGTATTCAAGCAGGAGATAAATGCACCATTATACGCCATCTCCTTTCACTTCATTGCTATTGATTTGTAGAGTGCATGTATTTATTCTTAGGGCATGCGATAAATTCTGAAGGCATCATAGTTAAAATCAAAGATAATTAATCTCTGCACCTGCGACAGTGATACTCTGCAGCAACCCTTACCTGGTAATCGAATGTTAAATTGCTTTTTGGTTTGAAGTTTCTTTTTTTATTCATCCTCATTTTGTTTTATCGCTAAAATTGCTCAACACGCTGCTTTTAAAAGACTCAGGGAATACTACGACTTACAAAGCTCATTCATGTCAAAGTAAAGAGGATTATTGGGCGAGAGAACTAGAGCTGCCAAAGGAGATGACATCCGACAAGTCAAGGTCAAACATGAGGTCCATTCCTTGTCTGCATGCAGAGAAACTGACGGTAAGGTGCAAAGCCTGGCCCAATTTGGTAAGCGCTTTGATGGGCAGTGTAATTAGTTGCCTAAAGGATATGCTCTACTCATATTAACATAATGAATCCTGGGAACTGTCCTTACCCTTAAGATAAGTGTCAGTTATGAACAGTGCTCTATTAAAGCCTTCAGGGGAGAAACTGGATGGATGTCTGGATAGTAGTTCGGCAGGTCTGAACTTCCAATGAATCAATATGTTAAATTTAATGAAAATCAAGCAATAAGGAGTTTCTAAAATCTAACATCACTATTAATACCAAAAATATATTTTTAAGCATGTGCTCTCTTAGTTGCACTTTTTCTTATTTCCACTGGAAACGAAAGCTAGCAACTGCAGGTCTCCAAAATACTGAGTCCCTCACAAAGAGAAACACCATTTTTTTTAGAAAAGACTCTATCCACTATCTTTCTAAAACTGCTGCTTCTAGCAGTATGCGATGAGCATCTCTTATTTATATCATCCATTGTTTCGTTTCCTCTCCGTTATCCCTATTTGTATCTTTTGTTTTATGTTAAAAACTTTTACAAGTGCTGTTTAAATAATGTTGACTTGACAGAAAGCCGAGCAGAACAGCGAAACACAGAATCGCCTCAGAAATTATTAAACAATTAATCACTTGGCAGATCACTACAATTACTGCACGCTGTGGACAAATGCCTCTATGGGAAGCCAGAGGCAGCGCCGTACGATGCGGGTGGCACTGGGGAGCAGGTGCTTCAGCAAACAAAAAGCCCTATATCTAAGATCATCTCTGTACACAACAGATTGAAGCGGCTGGAGACAGGAAAGCTTTTCTAGGGCATTCACCAAAGCAGATTAATCATCTCTTTAGCTATGCAGTGTGAGTAGCTGTTGCTCTGATCAGTGGCGAGCAGTTTGTTTGTCTGCGGTCGTGGTGTGCTGAGCACCATTCAATGATTGTTGCTCCTGGGAGGGATACTGCAGCCGTGAGATGTCTTTTTAGCATAGCACAGTCTATTCATTCAGCAGTGTACACCTGCTTGCTTCTATTCTCTGTTCTTTCTGCTGCTGGCACCTTTCAATGTAAAGTCATTTCCCCTTCTATGATTTCCCCTTCGGCCATTCACAGTTCAAACTCTCCACTTGACAAAATGAGCAGTTCAGGCCCAGCAGTGTAACATCCTCAGAACTGCATGATGGGGCATCATAGATAAATCACCAGAGAATGACAGTCATTTCCTCTGCTGACAGGCAACAGTTGAAGCAGAAACTTCCCACAGGTTTACTACAGTAAATGACATGTAGAAAGTCTCTCCCTGTCATGTATATCGGAAATAAAAGCCTCTGCTGTTGTGCTACACTGTTTTCTGCTTCAAAGATGCACGGAGAAATAAAAAAAACAATCTAATTAATGAGCATAGAACAGGCAATCTTGACAATTGTTCAACAAAACAACCACATCTCCGCTATCTCAGCACACAAGTGCTAATTAGCTCCTTTCGTCTCATCATATTGAACTCCACTTGCTTTTTCCTGAACTTAACTGTTCTTCAAAGTCATTGTTAGTTCCAAATTGGAAACACTACATTATATACTTTTGTTTCAAATGCTGGGTCTTAGTCAACACAGCGGTGGCAGGAATAGAAGCTGTTAATGCTTTGATCTGAGCATGTTTTTTTCTGATATGGGCTTCCTGCTGTAGTCTAGGTTGACTCAGTGGTAGGCCTCATATAATTTGCAACTGATGGTCTTGTAAATACTCTTTGAACACACGCAGGTAAGTATAGCAAGAAAATATAAAGCGCTGAAGCTGTCTGCATCTCTGAGTTAAGTTATTTTTGTTGTGTAAAGGCTTCATGTCTTTGATTCTCTGTGGTATTTCCTTGAATGAAGAGTTAATAAAGAGGACAGCAAAAGGCTATCTGAGCTAGCAAACCTGCTAACTGCTAGTAGCTAGGTATCCATTCATGTTCTTCCCTCTATCCAATTCAAGGTCACAGGAATGCTGGAACCTATCCCAGTGAAAGGCGCGGTACACCCTAAACAGGTCGCTACTGTAGTGCAGAGCTAATAGCCATTCACACTCACGTTCACAGCTAAAGTTGTGGGAGGAAGCCAGAGTACCCAAAGAGAACAGAGACACAGGGAAGTCCACAGGCCCCAGCTGATTGGTAGATTCAAACTGAAGCCCTTCTTGCTATAAGGCAACATGCTAACCACTGCAACACTGTACTGCCCAAGCTACGATACCACACAGCTAATAAGCTATGATAGTGTCCTGCATTTTGGACCTGTTCAAAACATGCTGCTTTCCAAATTTCCAACGGTGGGATTGCTATAAAACAGACAAACACACACATGTATAGATATACACACAGAGAGAGAAATAATTAGTTGATATCCTGCCTTAATTTGTAAGTTTGGTCACTTACAAAGAAATGTACTACATCCTACTTTTATGGTAGTTTGATTTTAATAAAGAGACAAGCCTGTAATTGTTTTGTCTATAGACATAGCCTCTCTAGCATTTTTTTACTTGCCATATATATATATATACATGCCATCTTTGTTGCAGTGATAAGTAAGATCCAGCATTATACAAAGAGTGGGAGAGCGAGAGCTGAAGCCTAGATAAGATGCACAGATTGACTACCTCATCTCAGCATCCACTAGAGTGGTTGAATTTATTGGATGCATTGGATATGCTGGAGCACTCTGAACTCAAGCATTTCAGCGGCTGATAATCCAGGTTTCACTTCCAGCACACAGTTACTAGTTGTCTAAATTTGAGGGGTAATTGGTCCCAACTTGCTGTTCTTGCCCGGTTTTAATTTTCCTCACTGTACCCAAGCCTTTCTTATCAAAGTGTCACATAGAGTAGTTTGTCCAGCATCGTGATTGCAGTTGTTTTAGCAGCAGATTAACTCAGCAGATTAAAAAACAGGGATGCTGTGATGGGATCATTCAGCCGTTTGAATAATGAGGTAGTTTGAGGAGACAAGGCAAAATACACTTGAAGGTAAAGAATAAAGAGATAATTTAATTCTCTATTGAAGAAAACAATACTGTCTTTGAAAGTTTGAGCTTTCCTGGTTAACAATGAATACTATTGCAGAATGACATAGTGCCCCAATACCTGCCTTCAAACTATAGTTCTGCAACATTCAATGACTACTTAACCAAGTTAGATTAACCAAAAAACAACAACAAACAAAGTAAATGTAATCTGTGCACTACTAAATGTAGTGCACAGATGAAATGATAATCTTCCGTTTTACCGTCACTCTGCAGAGTGCATCATCATTGCAGCTTTATTAACATATACTGCTTGCTTTGGTTTACTGACAATAGGCTGAAGACAATGTTTTTGCCATTAAATTTTTCTTAGAGTTTGTTAATTAAGCCAAGTTGCTTTGCTGACATATAGAAATGCCACAACTGTGTCTTATCAAGATACCATCAGTGAACTGAAAAAGAGAAATTGTGCTCTACAGTTCAAATTGCTCTTCTATGCAGAGGCCTTCCTGCTTCACACTTAGATACTCGGGCTGGATAATGGACCAAATTTTAATCTTGATCACGATTTTAGCTTCCCACAATTAAATGAGCATGATCAAGCGATATTTAAAATGCTGCTGCTCTGCCAATTAAAATGCAATGCAAAAGCAAATCAAGTTCTTCCTAAATCACTGCCTGACTATGTGTCTTTATGTGTCAGTCACAGGAGATCCCTTCACTGCGCAGCTTGAAGATTCCTGGACTAACCTGGGAGACTAGTCTGTAGTTAAAATTAATGAAAAGGCCTGTCTAGTCGATAAAGACACAAATCGACATACACACTGCAGTATAAAGCCTTTACCACAAGAGATCACCTGTAATACCATACATACACTCACATCTGTTCAGCTGGGTGCTAATGATAAAAAAGTGAAGCCATAATAATAATCATAATAACAAGCCCTCACTTGGCAGCAACTCAATGCAATTAGGCAAGTAGACACGATCAAGACAGCCTGCTTAAATTCAAACCGGGCATCAGAATCGGGAAGAAAGGTGATTTACGTGACTTTGCCACAGTTCTTGGTACCTGATGGGCTGGTCTGAGTATTTGAGAAACTGCTAATCTACTGGGACTTTTCATCTTCGATGTTTACAGAGAATGGTCTAAAAAAGAAAAACTAGTTTGTCCAGTGAGAAACCCAAATACTTTAAGCTGATAGGAAGGCAACAGTAACTCAGATAACAACTTGTTCCAAGTTTTCAGCAAAACACCTCTGAATGCATCAGTAAATTTGTCACATTGAACTTTGTTAGGGTACAATAGCAGTAGACCATAGTGGTGCCATTTCTGTCAGTGTAAAAGAAGAAACTGAGGCTACAATTTGCACAAGATCACCTAAACTTGGCAAGAGGGATAAAAAAACATTTCCTAGTTTGAATAAGTCTTGATTTCTGCTCTGACATTTGGATGATGTGATCAGAGTCTTGCATAAACAACATGAAAACAGGGATCAACCCTGGCTAATATCTATGCTTTAGACTTGCGCTTTTGGTGTAATCATTTTTTTGATATTTTCTTGGCACACTTTGGGCCACTTATTACCTGCAAGCATCGTTTAAATGCCACTGCCTGCCTTGCTGACCATGTCCATCCCTTTATGACAACAGTATATCATCTTCTGATGGCTGCTTCCAGGAGGATAACTCATCCTATCAAAAAGCTCATATCATCTCAAACTGATTTCTTGAACATGACGATGAGTTCACTGAAATGGCCTCCACAGACATCACATCTTTGTCCAATAGAACACATTTGGGATGTGGTTGAACAGGAGATTCACTTCATGCATGTGCAGCTGACATACCTGCAGCATCTGTGCGATGCTATCATACCAACATGGGCCAAAATCTCTGACTGTGTTTTCAGCAAATTGTTGAATCTATCCCAAAAGAATAAACGGAGCTCTGAAGGCAAAAGCAGGTCAAACCTGATACTAGAAGTGTAACTAATAAAGTTTCTGGTTAGTGTATGCACCTAGAAGGATGAACAAAAGATGATATATGTTAAAAAATCTGTCTTTGTCTCAGTTCACATCTTGAATGAGTCCATGATGCGATCTTCATCATAATATTGCAAAATTCATATACATCTTTACATTTATATACTTGTAGTAATGATCTATTAATAGAATAATAGAAATGACAGATCTATACTACTCTCTGTAAACCTCTTAAAACCAGAGGATGTTCAATTATTTAGCATTTATTGGTTTTCCCGTACGTTCCATGTAGGATTTATGAAGTGAAGTCTATGGACTAGCTTAGACAACTTCAGCTGCATTTCTCTTCGCACAGACTTACATGCCTCAACCTACCCCACCATCTGCTATTTCAACCCCTCCACCACCCGAATATCTATCTGTAGGCTCCAGGGGATGTTTGCTTATAACTCCCTAGTCTGAATGTGTCTGAATACAGGGAGAGATAGAGATGAGCTTAGATGCCAAACTCTGTTTTCGCTACTTAATTTTAAATATAAGTTGTCTCACTAAAATTTAAAGACTATTGAACTCACTACTGTAACTGGAGGGTGAAGGTATATATTACTTATAGTATTTGATTATATGTTACTTTGTCAGCAATGTTACTATTGCTAGTATTGTGAGTATGCCAGTATTGCAAAGTGCTAAAACACAAAGTACAAATAAAAACATAGTTTGAGGGAAATAGTGACTTTGGCATTCATTTAGTAATAAAAGGAGATATAAACTTCAGAAATTTAAATTGTTATTAAAGATCACCAATAACTAACTCATTTAATCTGACAGTAAACAGGTTTTTCATTTTACTTGAACTAAATAATGAGTAATACAAGCCTTATTCATTCTATGTGATCCTGTCAGCCGCTGCACACAAAATTCAAGCTTAATTTAATAACCGAAACAATAGGAGGATAGCACTTGTGTTTTCCTTGGCACCTAGATTTTCTGCAGATTTCCAGAAAGTATTTCCTAGAATAACTAAGAAGAGCCTTCCCAAAGAAGGAGAATCATAGAAAGAAAACATGAAACAAGAGAGAGCTCCAGGGCTTGGCAGGGTTTACAAGACAATCAGCTGCCTGTATTTCTACTAGATCAGTATGAGACAAAATCTTCCTACTTATTAGCCTAATAAAACTGTTTTTAAATTACAAAATGATCCACACTTTCCAGGGTTTCTCATATTTTGCTATTTTTTTTCTGAGGTTGTTTACTCCTCTCTTTGAAGAAAGATGACTCAGTTCTTTTTTCCTCTTCCATTTTCTAGCTCAGTGAAGTGCTTTAGACTAAGAGAGGGGTCTGAATTTGAGTGGAAAGAGGAAGAGGGCAGTGAAGTGTTTGGAGGAAGACAACAGTTCTTCTTTTACCAGCCAGTTGGGTCTTGTTTAATTTGATTTCTTTAGGTGCTATACAAATGCATGGATGAGTAGTGTGTGTCCTTCCCCGAAGACCATCTGTTTAAAACCTGCAGAAACCTAGCCTGGCATGCACAATCCCTTCCAGGATCAATAAATGAGACTGAAGGCTCCCTTCAGGTCAGATATAATAAAGATAGCCTTAAAATTCTAACTGCTGACACCTATCAATTTCCCATACGTGCGAATGAAATTAAAGTCTAATAATCTGCTGAGAAATGGGGTTGAACTCAATTTTCTTCTTGAAGTTCTTTTGGATTTGAATGACCTTTTATTCTGTTCTCTATCAAGATGATCTCTTACTGCTTCAATAAAGTTGAAGCCAGTCCATGACTGATACTGTACCACTATGTGTTTTTCTACCCAGGTATGCTTTAATTGTATCGGCAGGGTGTTTAGGATTCTTGTCTTGGTGAAAACTGAAATCGATGCCAATCAGGTGTTTTCCAGATGCTGTTGCGTGGGGGGTGAAATTTCTGACAGAACTTTTTTGTGTTCATAATTTTTATACTTCTGTAAGACCTGTCATAAGAACTTGTGTAATTTGGCGCTCCCCAGCCTTTTATCGCCGTTTCCCTTTTATGCCTGTCAAACTGTGTCTTTTGACATTTTTTATACATTAAACTTAAGATATGGGAGCAAGCCGTGCGTTTTTGTGACAGGCTGCTACCAATAAAGTGCCTAAAGATAAAAATGTAAAATAGGGTTGTCTGTTATGTGTAGACACAACACTGGTATGTCCCTAGAGTTAGGTGCCTTTTTTTATGTTTGAATGATTCACAGGTCAGGCAAAAAATATATTCTTCTTAAGTACAAGAAATAGACTGAAAATGAACGAAAAAGCAAAGAAAAACTTCAAAACCTCTTTAGAAAGGCTGGAGAAGTGTTGTTCAAGACCACTTTAAAAAATGACAAGAAGCTCTGACTATGCTACTGTATAGATATGAGGGGTGACTCTGGACTTCTGAAAAATGTTAGATATGATAATTTGAATGAAATATAAATCTACAATTGCACAAGCAATATCTTGTGTTTTTATCAAATTGTTGAATGCCAGTCTAGAACTAATGTGGGTTTTTTTAGAGGGCCTTTTTGTTGTTGTTGTTTGTTATTTTTCTTCCTCTAGTAGCCTACATGTAACTAAGTTCCTGTTTTTAGGTCCTGTCACCACAGGCCGGGCCAACTTGACACAATGCACTCTTCAAATAAGCAGACAGAGTTGGTATGATTTTGCAGGAAAAGTTACACGAAGAGAAAATCCTGTCCAAGGCAGTGTTAATTCTTTGTCCAAATCACTTTCAAATATTCCTGGTGTTGTAAATATCAGGAACATATTCAAAATAATTCAGAAGATCAGTGGAGTATAAATGGGCTGCCAACATTATCTTACGTATGGAGTCTATTGTCCAAAAGGGGAAGTATGAAGCAGAAGTGGGAAGGAACATTTCCATATGGCAACAAATGTTTATATTTTTTTTTTAAAAAAAAGGTAAAGTTGAAATGTGCAAAAAATGTGATGGTGTGTTTTTTTGTTTGTTTGTTTTTTAAGCTCTTTGGCTTGTGCCTATGTGAAAAAAAACTGGGAGGTCTCAGAGGTCAGTGTGTTTTCTGGGGATAAGAGCATTTTCCAAACACTTTCATGTTTCACAATTTTGGAGAACAAGGTAACAGCGAGTTGTAGCAGTATACACTTTTAGATAGAAGTGACAAATGACACAAGTACAGCTTGAGTGGATTTTCCTCATGCTTTTGAGACATTTTTTTACACTTAAAACGTATGAGAATACATACACTTTGGACTCGGAAGAAAGCATTTGGAGTTTCCAAGTATGTTTTATTTGAGCTCCTCACATACTCTGTGATGGGATCACAGTATTTCCTACTTTATATACAACTCACTTCCCACTGTTGTGTATTGTTACTCATTCTGTCACACCAACTCGTATATTTCCCAGAAACCTCTGCAAATAATATTGGAGCCATCATCCACTGTATAGTAAAACAATGCAACACCCAATACACAGCACTGTCAGCTGTATTACATCTGTACTTCTTCCGTGACCTTGATGTGTATTTTATGATGCCTCTCTTCTGAATTCCATTTAATGTCACACCTAAAAGATTTGACTTTAACATTTTCAGTACTCTTCAGATTTTCTGCCTCAGTCAAACCACTCTAGATGCAATGTTGTGCATACAGTATATTTGATTTTGCATTTTCTGGACACTAATGCATGACTGCGCCAGATGAGTCTCGTAAGGACCCCTTTCAAATTGATTCATTGCGTTATACAGACAGTGCAAGAAGCCCACCTGTAAATGATGCAGGCGCTGTTTCGACAAGTGTCACAATTTGCTGTGTCTTGTCCTGTTCGGTAGGAGAGCCTGTGAAGGGAGAGATGGAAAGATATACGTGAGCTCCAGTGACAGGCTTCGCCGTCATATTTCAACACCTGTGGGCATCGGCTATCACACAGATTTGCTCAGGTTTGTTTTCACTCAGGGTTGCTCTTTGCTAACAGTTGAAAATGCAGCAGGGATTTTGATCCTGCAGTTCTCTCAGATTTGGCTAATCAAGCGTGTAGACTTGCTGATTTAACATAATAGGATTACCTTGCTTTGCCATGACATACTTTGAATTGTCTATAGGCAATAGGATTAAACAACTAAATGCAGTTCTTGTGTAATAAAAAAAAATCTATATCTTTACATTATGTGCTACAGCACATAGTACATCTTTCCCATAAAGGTCAACTTGTTACAGACATACTTTTTCAAAATGCAATAAACAGCACTGTATCTGCTCCGTTTGTGGCTGAGGTGTATTGCCCTGTGTTGTCTGTTGTTTTTATGTTGGAAGCCCTCCGCAAACACCAGCTGCAAGCCACGTGGCACATAAGGCTCATACAAAATGTGCACATGGTAAAGAGGACACACTAAATATCCAATGACTTTTGTTAGTGTGGCGTTCTCTGACTTTCATTAGTTTCTGTTTCATCATTTGAGTTTAGATGAGCATGCAGGTGGGCTTTTTGTTATTGGCAATATGTCGCTGAATAGACTGTTGGACCGCGTGGGATGGGAATGATAGGATATTTTGTTTTCGAGCCACACATGTAATTGCTTGCTGTCACGCTAGCCCTTTGTACCTGATGGATGACACGTGGAAGAGCTGCACCTCAAATGTTCACCGTGACATGAAAGGTGACCTCATCGGAGGAGACAGAAGGGCTTCTTCATGGATCGAAAATGCTGATGGAAGCTCAAGGTCACTGAGTTCATCCATCCTGCCCCGTTCTCAAGTAAAGTCTCTTTGAACAGCTGTGAGCAAGGGCAGTAACTGACTACACAGAAAAAAGATCTACTCTAGTGCTACACTGCTGCCTAGGTTTTCATGTACTCCCATATCATTAAAAAGAGTTGCTTTAATAATAAAAGTGTATTAACCTAAATTTACAATCAGTGCATGTACTCAGCACAACACCCTTTTTTGTATTCTGTGTCTAATGTTCACGCTTCACTGTTGTGATTCTGTATTAAACCACAGTGACACAGAAAAGATCTTCATAGATTTTTCATGGAAAAAACAACAACCAAAAAAAAATGGCACCTTTGAAAGTCTTTCTTTAAGCCGACTGCTTGTTGGCACAGATTCACTGCTGTGTTGTTTGCCCACGTCAGCTGTCCTGGGATATGTCCTGGCCTCATCATTCTAGTTTCACTAGTCCCCCTGCCTACGTGCCTGCTGCTCTGCCTGCCTGAGAAATGCATAACATGCGAACAGAAGCTTCACTAGGTCAAGCCACCATGTTTCAAATGCCACTTTTTATATACAGTGTTATTCTGTGTTCTACACACATCTTTGTGTGGAGAAATGAAAGTGTTTCCTGAACAAGGCTGGGGAAGTGACTTTCGGAACTGTATGAAGCCAGTAGACAAATATTATAACAGTTAGATTAATATAAGAGAAAAATACTGAGCTATATATTCTTACTGTTAATATGTTTTTTTTTTTTTTTGTTTTAGCACATTCATAAGTGTTTAACAATAAGCATCACATGTCACTGAGATACACTGAGGTTAAGGTCTGGAAAACCATAAGAGAAGTGAAACATGTGGCATTGATGGGACTTCCTCTTCATAGGCTGTCATTGAAAAGTATCCAAAATAAAGATGTGAAAAAGATCACGGGGAAATGCATCAATCAAAGCTCCTACTGTACTTATTTTTGGTTTATGTTTGGGATTGTCTCGTGGAACAGATGACGCAAAGAAAGTAAAATCCCCCTCCAAAAAAAAAAAATTTATTTTTTGCCATAATGTTATTTCCAGTGTAAACCGTGAAGTCGCTTCTCAAAACACTTTACTTTTGCTGGAAAGTAAGTAAAAAGTGAGTAGATTATTTCTAACACCTTGCTAAAACCACAAATGACATACAGTACAGGTTTAATGAAGAGTGGACATTGTGTTGGACATTGTATATGCTGGTTAAAAAAAGGGGAAACTTTAAGTTGCTTTTTGGTTCAAGGAAGCATAACTGACACAAACAACACAAAATAAGGAGAATAGTTTTGTGTCCTGTAACTGCACTCCTCTAATAACACTCGAGCACAATGCTGGAGCACAGCACAGTGAAATCACTACAGCAGGCACAGTTTTGTGAAGATGAAAGGCAACGTGTTATGAGGCTGTACTAATTGGGCCTTTAAAACCAAGCTCCTCAGAGTCACACCAGGGTGCCTTGTTCGCCACTGGATGTGGATGAAACTTAAATACAATTTGCTTTGTGTTGTGATAGAGCACAGGTTTTTACAACTGTGCTGCTGTGAAAGTGACTGAAGGACTAATGGCATCCCCATCAACTACAGTTGAACTTTCTGTTTAATGCCAAAAGTCAAATGTTACCACACCTAAGAGAAGTGCAAGTTCATGCTTCCCAATAACACCAATCACATTTCTTAAAAACACACCAGATATTGTTTTCCTCTCATTTTTTACTTTTAAAATATTCAGAGATAGATTGTTCTAGAAACCTCTTAGTCACATCCATAGTTTTTGAAGAAAATGTGCATTCACACTGATAACTATTGCAAATTGTGATTCACCAAGATCCTGGGTGGCATACTGTTGATAGTCAAACAATGATGTGTGGAACACTGTAACCTCAATGGCTGTGCACTTGGCTACATATCAGATAGTGACTGACATCCAAACAGAAGGCAGTATAAGGATGATATACTGTGAGGACCAATGCCATGGATGGGATATGTATTGTAATATTAGGTATACATGTACTTTGAGTCTTCTTCACAGTAGAAGGCCTTTGCATTATTTTCAAAGTATTATTTCTGGTAAGTGCACAGCTTTGAATGAGCAATTTCAGATAACAGCCTGTTAAAATACAGGCATTTCCATGTGTACACTATGTACCTCTGTGTTCCTATGAAATGAGGGATTATTTCTATGATTCTAAATGTCTTGCTTTAGGTTTCATGTGGAGCTTTCACAAACATTTGCACTGTAAACGTTACTCTACTCACCCCTCTCTCTGTGCTTCACCTTTCTCCAGCTCCTGAATAACTCCAAGAAGGACCTTGATGGTCTCCTGGCTTGAGCTGATGAGACTTTCCATGGCCTGCAGCTGTGCTTTGATATCCTTGTCTCCAGATAAGGTTATTATCTGCTGGCTGCTCCCGATGCCCGTGGCTCCTGGAGGAAAGCCCTCGTCACCCCCATGTGTTCGCTGGAGTTTAGAGGAGGCTGACACATGCCTTGTCCGACACTGCCCTTGCGACTTTAAAGAACATTTGGCACTATGGGGAAGTGTCTGAGACTGCTGCTCATTTAGCTGTGTATCCTTTTTCCGTTTACAGCTCACAGAGGGGCTTCCTAAAGACTCCACCTGTGTCAAAGAGTTCCATGCAACAGGGCCTGTGCCCTTTGGCTTGTCCTGCGAAAACTCTGAGTCAGCTAGCTGGCGCTTTGAGGAAGTGCCGGCATCCATGTCTTCTTTGGGTAATCCTTTGTGTTTGGTCCTTGTCCCACAAACCTTGTATTCTGGTTCACTTTTGGAAGGAGAGCTGGTAGGATGACCCTCTTCTGAGAAATGTGAGGGTCCATCCACACAGTTGGCACTGGAAAGCAAATCCTCTGTATCACTGCTGTCATCAGTGTGGTGAAGCAGTGCTTTTGTCTGCCCCACAATCTTACCCTTGTACTTAGATGACTCCCCAGTAGGTTGTCCATCATCTCCTACTGCTTTTATGTCACTCAAAAATCCATTGTTTTGTCCTCTGTACTCTTCCACCAAAGCAGCATGTTTAAAGGTGTGTCCTTTTTTCCTTTCGAATGGGAAAGTCTTGTAACGTTTTGTAAGATCTGGTGAAGTCTGGACACCAGTACTCTTGGTCACGTTAGGAATAGATCGCCGGGCAGGCATTGTCATGTACTTTCTGTGGGTAACTTTACAGGAAATGGACCTGGAGCGTCTGGCACGATGCTCTTTCTGAGCTTCGCAGATATCCTTAAAACGCACTTGTAAAGCCTTGTTTCTTTTTTTCACCTGCTGTTTGCCAGATTCGGAGCCGGACTGTGCGTCAATGCTGTGTGAGGGAACTGTTTCTGAATCCGATTCATCTGAATTTGAGAGAACAACGCATTTGGTGTCGTCTTTGCTCACCATATTTCCTGAAACAGCCAAAACAGAAAAAGAGAGAGTGTGTGTTAATCTAGAGGAGACGATTTTTCACATGTGATGACTTTGGTAAGATACTGTGGCAGATGGCCTAATGCCTTTCTCCTTTTTTGGAATATAACTTGTAAACCTCCATTAAAGTAACCCAAAACTGAGATTAAAATATTTATTTTTTGTTATTTATTTATTTTAATAATAGAAAAAATTAAGCGTAGATAAGCGTATTTTAACTGTAACTAATAAGGACACCTTGAAAAAGATTCCAGTGATTCATGCATGATTCAATTCATGTACAAATGGCTTGATATCTTTAAATAAATACAATGAGAACCAGCTAAATATATAGAGAAGAACTATAATACAGTGTTAAAAAGTACATATTTCCTGACAGTTTTTCTGTAAAGTTTGCACTTGTAGTGTCTGTATTTCTCAGCATAATAAACAACAATCAAAGTGTTTAATTCATAAGATGCAGCTCATCTACCCGCTGCCATGCTGTACAGCTGATGCACCAATCTGCAACATAAATGTGTTAAACATGGAGGAAATCTGTGAAAATAAGAACAAAGATGATCATATTTCATCTGTATCTGATGACTCAAAAATGGTCCCATTTACTTTTTGTTCTTTTAATAACATTTTTTAATATTATGTTTCCAAACACTACAGTGCTGCTGAAAAATCGAACAGGCCAGCGGTGCTCATCCAAAACGGATCCAGAATCTAAAATCAAACTCATTTAAGATACAAAATAACATTTACTTTGCACATGCCATTTAGTTTTGCACGCATCATGACTGAAGCTCGATTAAACTGTCGTTCCGTTGTGTTAATGTTTCTGAATCACACCTCATGCTAACATTTGCAGCCATGACAGTAGCATTTCATAAGCACGGTCCCCTGCCAACTGTTTGATAATTTGCTTCAAGAGACCTTTTTAGAATAATAATTGTGTTCACACTGCTCTCCTTGTTGCTGCTGCCATCATTCAATACTCTGTTTATTGACTCTTCATTATATCAGTTGTCAGCTTAAATATACACCTCAAGCTAAAAGCACAGTTTTTCTGTTAACTTGATGTCTTACCGCAGTTTAGATGCCAGATCACTGACTTAGATCAGTAACCAAAATATCTGGTAGTTAGGCTAATGTGAAGGCTATGAAATACATTTTAAGCAAGCATCATTAATGTGTTTAGGTTTTGTTTGCTTCATATCAGCGTCAGCCTATAGGATTGCCGAGGCTGCTGTCTGCTACTGCTGCGCCATAGATTCACTTGGGGAATGATAACTTTGAATTGCTGCTCTTATTTTTTTATCTTTTGCCTTTTGCTTTACAAATGCATGACACCCCTTTTATATGTCACTGATTTATGTAGCAGTGAAATGGAAATACTTTTATATGGGGTGTTTCAAGTGAAATCTGCTGCCAGTTCCTTGAAAAAGTATTTGAAATAAATATAAACATGAGACTCACATTGAGATGCTCTTCTTTTTATTTTTTTTGTTTGCAAATACAATTATCATATTTTTATTCCTATTGGGAAGGCATTCCAATACAAATGGGTTTGCGTGACAGCTTGTTTTACTGTTCTTCATGTCATAATTACATCTAAACGGCTGTTCTCTGCTTTGCACCGATGCACTCAGCCGCACTCGTTGCCAGCCTTATGCTTACCGTACATCCATGCACCCACTCCTCCCGCTATCCGCGCTATATAACATTTCATACAACATGTCATTGTGAGCTGCTGCTATTATGTTGCTTGATAACATTCTCCCCACAACAGTTGGGGGTGTTTTGTTAAGGAATGGTCACAGAGTGGTTGGTGCTTAGCCCAGGGCTTATATATATTCCCCTTGTGGTCTGAGGTTGATACCAGAAGCAATGGTGACACAGCAGCTGTGGCCCACACATATTAAACGCTGCAATAATAGCTAGCGTTAGGCTCCTCCACCTGTATCCACCTGCAGGCTCTGAGTCTAAACTCTGTAGGAAGAAATTTATTATCGTCACTCCCTGGTTGCTGCTGTGCCAAGCGGAGTGACGAGGTCAGAGCCTAGAGTTGCTCTGCGATCGTATCGGAAATCTCTTTCATGTGAGTTGTCCGTGTGAACTGACCTTCAGCTTTTAATGTTTACAGATTGCTGTTTATCACAAATTTAGATTCAATTATATTACTTGAGCATATTTCTGAACGAAAAACACCTATATTAAGTGTGATCCTATAGCACACTATAGAGTGTTATAAAGTGCATATTTCCTAACTGGCTGTGTTAGCATATTGGTAATATTACATAGGTTTATGCAACAGTTTTAATAACCTGAACTGAAATGATTGGTTTCCAGCTTTCGATCTGCATTTTTATGTGGTTTCAGGGTTTTTTGGTTTTTTTTGCAGTTCCTCAAAATAAATATTTACGTCTCGTATCTGTAAAGTGACACTGAAAGAGTGTAATTAATCATTAATTCATAAGATGCATCTCATCTACCTGCTACCACACTAGGGCTGCCACAAACGATTATTTTGATATGTCTGTGAAGGTTCTCAGTCATCCAGGTCATCGTAGTCAAAGGAGCTTGCGAAGAAAAGCGTCTGGACTTCTTTAAGTTGCTTGAAGACGTTTCACCTCTCATCCGAGAAGCTTCTTCAGTTCTAAGG